ATAAATGAACTTTTCCACGACATTCTAATTTATTGAGATGCACCTGTACATAAGATGTTACTCACCTCATCCTGTGATTTATAGGTTCTGTCTGCATGGCAAAAATGAGGCACAGCCCTGCAAAAAATCAGTTTGGTCAATATCATCTCACGGTCTGTTTGAGTCTTTATGTACGTGCACTATCGTTCAAACGTTTCTCCCCACCCCCACCCAAAATAAATGAACACTTTTATTCAGCATGGATGCATTAAATTGATTAAAAGAAAAAGTAAATACTTTTACATTGATACAAACTATTTCTAGTTCAAATAAATGCTGTTCTTTTTGAACGTTTGATCTATTTATCAAAGAATTTGATAAAAGACAAAATGTATCAGTTTTCACAAAAATATTAGGTAGCACAGCTGTTTTCAGCTTTGATAATAATATGAAATATTTCTTGAGCACCGAAACAGCATATAAGAATGATTTCACTGAAGACTGGAGTAATGGCTGCTGAAAATTCAGCTTTGCCATCACAGGAATAAATTACATTTCAAAATATATTAAAATAGAAAAGAGTTCCATTGTAATAATATTTCACAATATCTAATTTTTACTGCAGCTGTGGTTAGCATAAGATAAATCTTACCAACCCCAAACTTTTGAACGGTAAGGTATGTATGCATGCGTGTTGGTGAGATTGTAATTGTTTCATTGAGTGTCTCACCAGGAAAAATAAATATAAAGAAGGCACTAATTCCCCCGATTACGCTGATGACCTCACTCATATCTGGTACATATATGGCGATGAGGAGAGTCACAGTGATCCAGAGAATTGTTAGAATCAGACGGCACCGACTCTCAAACACAGATGTAATTATGGCCCGTTGTTCCCAAAAGCGCAATATCTGTGTTAGAATCACTGACCTGTGAACAAGACGCAATCATTGAGTGCATGTACACATGTGTGTGCAGTGAGCTATTCACATTTATTTGTGGTTTATGGTACCTTCCCAGCAGCAGTATTATAGGATAGATGGTGATGATCGAAATACCAAACAGCAGCCTAGCAATAATCATCACTACATCATTTCCAGGATACGACATCAAGATATCTGAGGCTACTTCCCGTCCAAATGTGAGAAACCCAAACACACCTGCCATA